ATTGTGAAGAAACTATGAACGGAAAACGTCCTCGTGGATTGCTCCTTTTCTTCGTACAATTATGGTCACTACAGACCTACGATTAGCTATGACCAGCATACAGACCGCTGTCAACAAACTACAGACCATCCATAGGACCCGTAACCGTTCCCGGTCAAGTAACGATCGTCGACGTACACCTTTTAGAGTCGGTCATAGAAGCTTCGACAATCAAGCTAGGAAGTGCGAACCTCCATATTCGTTCAAAACGCAGTACGGAAAATTATAGGCTGACAGGCCACGACTACTACATCAATCGTTTTTCCCACCCCTTGTCGTCTTATTGTTATCTACGATAACTCATCTAAGCTTAGGCTTATGGTAGACATCAGTGTACGCCAACGGAATCGCAATTGAGTGACGCGTAGCCAAAATCGATTTGAATACGGACACAAAACACGATTGATTCTTAGTGGTCTACGGTACCGCAGTAGGGAAATCATTACAAAATTTACAATAAATCAAAATTCAAATTTGCTGCCAAAAGCACTCAAGCAAGCGAGAGCCAAATATGATGTCCAGAGAGAGCCAACAAGTCGTTCACATTCTCTGACCACGCCAAATTCAGATGTGGCGGGCATCGAATCAACAGATAAAGAATGATGTGTGATGTTTATGATTGAGAAAGGTCGGTGGAGAAGCAACACATGGATAGAGTTATGTCACGGAATCATCGGGAGCTTGCAGGGATTTAAAAAAATCAACCTAAAATACACTGGCCGCCAAAATCCTTCCTGCGCTCGTCTGAGTCATAGGTTTGGCGCAGGTCATTGATTCTTGTCTACCTATCTACCTACCCAATTTCTGCTGTCAGTGTTTCTAACTACAAACTATTCAACATTCGCCGCACTTGTTCATTCTGACCTCTGATGACTTGCACGTTCCTTCGTCGAGATCTGCCTTCTGTATCAGCAAGCTTGCAGCCAGTCACACGATACAAATAACAGTGGGTCAAATGTCTATCATTACGGATAATTTCTCGATGAGTAAACAAGGGGTACATGTGGGCGGTGTGATTATTGTTCGTGTTTACAAATGAAATCATGTTCAGCATCGGGCGATAGTGTGTATGTGAATGGATTTGTTGTGAGGACATGGGTCACACCTTCGGGGTTCATGTTATAAATTGTATATAAAAGAAAATAAATAGACAACCAGTCACGAAAATTGAAAAGAGAAGACGTATGGTAAAGGCGTGGAAACACGGGTTCGGACAGGAGGGGTGAATAGCACTGGGGCGCAATTGATACAAGGGGGCAAGTCTGTAGTGGAAAGGATACCACATATACGAATAGTAATAAAATAAACGGTACATGGAACGGACTTGCAGAAAGATTGCCCGGCTGGTTGATTGATCCTGTTCTTTAGATGCGTGGCTCCGATTGATAGTTTGCAGTATTTTTGTATACATAATAGCACTGAATGTTGGAATACGAGAACCCGTACGGTACTGCTCGGAACTGAATTGGCTCGAACTCAAACTGCGGACACCAATAAAATACACGAGGAATTGATTGCAGCAAATGCCTAAATTTATTGATAGAATTAGACCATGTTTTATGGAATGTAATAGTCCATATGATTGGTTGAACGAGCGTCCTCCAATCACGTAACCGTTTGCACCGAGGCATCATATGTACTAACTCGGATGTCATGTTTGCACGGTGTACCATCGACCGAGCTTCCTGACAAGTGATTGGATGACATACAACTGTACCTAATCGTGCATGGATTTCAGTCACGGAAATGTGGATTACCGTAACTCTCTTTTCTCAGGAGTGTTTCGTCAATCCGGCTCGCCTGATGGCTAGACTTGCGGACTGCAGTCGATGGCTCCGCCTTTTCCTGGTGGTGTCCTTGCGTTTTGATTGGTTGTCTGTGCATCTGACCGATGCGGCTCCGTCGGTTGTACTGATGGGGTATGCAATTGATTGTTTCCCTCAGTTCTCTCTTGATGCCATTGGTCCCGAGATGGTTTGATGTGGATTGGGTCCACGTGTCGCTTGTGCACAGTAGCATCATTCAAGTCGGTAATTTCCACCATGGCTTGACC